TTTGTGCAGCTTTAGTTTATGAGATATTAAGAATTATAATTTCGCCCGATGACGTCACCACTCCCGTCCGTTTCGGAGCAACATGGGGGGGATGGTGACGTCATCGGGCAAAATTATAATTCTTAATATCTCATAAACTAAAGCAGCACAAACGCTAGTTTCACCGGAACAAACGAGCACTAACGAAGCACTAACGAAGCACTAAAAAAGTAGACCACTCCCGTGTGTTTTGGAGCAACATGGGGGGATTGTGACCTTTGGATGAGCTAAAAATTAATCTTTAATATCTCAGAAAGCAAAGCAGCACTAACGAAAATTTTAACGGCACAAACCAGCACTAACGGAGCACTAACCATTCAGACTAGTTGCTTTAATTTTGGAAGTGGGTGGGGTGTCAGCTTCACTCAGCTCAGCGCATCAACATATAGCGTACTTGCTGCCGTACACGTCACATCCGTCCAAAAATGTCTAATAAAGTGGAAAAAAAACATAAATAAGTCTCTTTGTCGTATAAGTCGCATCTATTATGCGTCACCGCTGACCACCCGGAAATGTGGTCCGGTGTTGTGCCAAAAATTGATTGGCTGCCAAATGACAGCCGTGGGAGCGTGCGCGAGAGGACTTTAACAAGAATTTAACAGGATTAACACAAAAAGAGTTATTTGTTTGCTCCAAATTATAGAAAAGGTGTGTCTCAGTTGAACTTTGCCTTAATAAATGCACTTTAATGTTCAAATCAGCAGCATTTCGCCTGGCTGGTGCAACGAAATGCAGATAATTTGACGTTTGCGAGACGAAGGTGGCTTGGTATGGCAAGCCAAGTGTCTCTTTAATAGTCACTTTTAATTATTAATTAAACACTTGGCTTGTCATATTGCTCGAGCACCCTCTAGTGGCTGAAAATGGTAGTGTTCAATATTTTCCGCGTCAGAATGAATGAAAACATCAGATCTCAGCCAAAAATTGGATTATAAATATGGGGAAAAATAACTTATATTAGTCACTTCAGTATATAAGTTGCAAGACTTGCAAAATTATGCAAAAGAATTGTGACTTATATGGGGGAAAATATGGTACTAGACTCACAGTAAAGCATGGCAGAGGTGCTGTCATGATGTGGTGCATGGTTTCCCAGCACAAAATCACTGTTGAAAAAAAAGTCTGTTTTGCACTGGCATTTCGTCCTGACCGATACATTTAAACAATTTAAAAATCAATCCAGCAATGACTAAATGAAACTGACTTTGTGGCTCTCGAGGAGTGGCAAGACGTGTTTGAAAAATAACTTCAACAAACAAGTTTTTGTCAAAAATTTGGACACAGCTTGCAGTTTGTGTCATGTGATGAACTTCCACATATACTCATGTCCTGCCACGAGTCTCGTGCGTGTGTCCGATGTTCTTATAGAGATCATAAATGTTTCAGCCACCTCTGACTCTGAGGCTTTTATTGTTTGCCAAAGTTCTGGTCATAAAATCAGCACTAGGAGAAGAAAAGTTGGTTCTGGATTAAACTAAGGGTTGAGCTGGGAGCTGTGATGCTTTGAGTGTGAAAAGAGACAAACGCCATGAACGCCGTCAGAGGAGCGCTCGGATGTGTTTTTTCAGGAGGAGACTGAGCCGGTGATTTATGTGTGATGTGTCAGGCCTTTTACTGCATTTGTTTTTGTGTGACTAACCTCCCTGAAGTTTGAATTTATTGATTTTTTTTAACTTTGTTACAATTATTTTGATTAGTTTTATCAAAATCCAGCTTTCTGTTTGTTCATCTTTGTTCTCGTATCATTAGTTTTAGTTTGCTTCCATCAGATCATCGTAACTCTGTTGTGTTTTCAGACTTTCAAGCTCTTCTCTTGATCTTTATTTTCTTGGAATCTGCTTCTGGAGTGCCTCCATCGCTCTCTCTTTCCTTCTTTTGTGAAACAAAATGCATTTTCTTTTCCTAATCCTCTCTCCTCTCTTGTCCACCTCACTTCACACAACTTTTCATGACAAAATGTTTATCAAACTGGGCTGAGGCTTTCCAAACTCATATTTTAACTCTTGATGTGTGACTGATGGAGGTTTATTCTGAAAGCAGGGTGGGGATCATGCACATGCACGTTTTGCTAATGGAAAATATTTGCTTATTGCAAACAAACATACACAGATCCTGTATAAACTAAATCCTTATCATGAACAGATGGAATAAAATGACTATTTCAGCTTGAAAAGTATATTTGTGTTCATTTAATTGGGCGTTTTCTGCATTGGTTGTTACATTTTTCAGCCTAGCTCAGCTGGTTTCCCACATCTGTTTGATATATTTGAAAAAGACGCTGCCTACATTGCACAGCAAAGTCCCATCCCCTCTGCTCTCCTGGTGAAATGAAAACTGGGTGTGTCCGATGAGTCTGTAGCAAATCAATGCTGAGACTGTTCAAAGCAAGCAACTAAATAAACATGTGAAACATTAGCTTTGCACAAAAGCCATTGGTAAAAAGTGTCTAAAAGAAAAGTTTAAACCAATCTTTACATTGTTTTATGAGATGCATTGCGACTTATTGGAGTTTCCACAAGGCTTCTGTTCGGGTCAAAAGGTTAGCCTTAAACACAAAAACATTCCCAACCCCAGGTTTCCCTCTGGCCCACAGTAATGTCTTTATCCTTTAATTCTCAAAAGTGCTCGTTTTATCATCTGTATCTACTTTTCTTTTCCTTGACAAATGGCAGAGACCACATTTGCATCTTCATTATGTCCAATTTGAAACAGTGAATTCATTAAATAAATATTTTTACATCATGATGTTTTCATCACATCAGACTGAGGTCGTCAAATATCACTCAGTCTGCTGTGTTTATGGAAACATGTGGACTGAAAATGCATATCAGAGGAACAGGGAAGTCTTTTGAGCTGTGATTTGATAGTGGGAGAAAAACAAATCTGGTCGGTGCCGATAAAAGTGAAAGGGTGAGGAAAAAACGTCAGTGTTTGTCAAAGTGGAGGAAGGAAGAGGATGAGTGTGGTTGGATGAAGATTAAGAGGCACAAACTGGCTGAACGAAATGGAAACATGCGTAGTGAAAGAGTTTATGACGTGCTTTAAAGTTTAAGAAAAAACTGAAATAGCTTCCATATAGCTCCCATTCCTTCAGGAGCAGGTGAGGCTGCTTTTAAACACAGGAACAGACAGTCCAACAACAGAAAACAGAGGGAGAATTACCACAGAGACAATCACAGGTGACTTGCAATTAAGTCAAAATAGTAACAATAACATCAACTAAAATATTTTCCAGTACGGCTTCATTCTGAGGCCTTTCTGCTCCTCCACAAACAATTGAGAGCTGCCTGATAAAAGGAAAGTCGTGGCACAAAGAATGAACAGCAGCAACACGACACTAAACAAGTCAGATGTGATTAGAAAAGCAGAAACGGAAGTGGAGGTAGAAAATATGAACGATAAGCAGCTTGGTAGTGCCCTGTGTAAAACCAGTCCATCCACTTTCTTTATCCGTTTGTCCGGACAGGACTGCAAAAGCACTGGCGCCTATTTCCAGCGGCCATTGAATAAAAGTTGGGGCACTTCCTGTACAGGTCACCAGTCCATCACAGGGATGCACAGCGACAAAATAAACAGACAACTGTTAATGCTCTCACTCACTCCAATTAAGGGTCACCAATTACCTAACAGTTTCTTAACTGTGGGAGTACCTGGAGAACCCACAAACACACACACACCAGAAAAGCATGCAAACTGCATGCAAGGCAAACTCATTTATTAATGTTGAAATAAAGTGACACTGTGAAACTAAAGAACAAACCTTTTATATGTCTGTTCAAATTATTCAAAATGAAGGGAATGTTCTTAAGGCTGAGCATTTAAATACACATTGTAGCCAAGTGCTACTAAATATAAAGATAAAGGATAATCTGTGGCCAATGACAGCAATTCCACAAATTATAGTATGGGGTTTAAATGCAGGTGATAGTACAAGAAGACTGGAGCAACAGCCTCAATAAAATGCATGAAAAAAAAATCAACTAGAGTCAATAAAAGCCAGAACTGCTGAACTGTACAAATATTTCTGTTCTTTATATATGCAAAAGAAGAAATGTCTGCAGTTATGGTCCATTAAGTCAGAACATGGATCAAAGGACACATAACATTTGGAGTCCGGACAATTTTAAGGTTTTAAAGAACTTTTCGTGAAAACAATGTTATCAAGCAGAACCCAACAGGAGTTGGGAGTTTTGGGCCAAAACAAACAAAATAATGGCGAAAGCATCAAACCAGGCAAATACATGACTGTTGTCGTCATGCCGTACATACTGTTTGTCTCTAAACCTACAAACAATAAACTAAACCTAAGAACCAAACTCAAAACTAGACTGGTAACTTCTAATGCCCAAGTAATGACCAAAGTGACATGGATTAAGGGTGGTGTCTGTGGCAGGGGGAAGGGAGTAAGTGAGTCAAAATCCAAACTGAAGCTGGAGTCAGAGCAATCGGCCAGCAGCCAACCAGCTGAGGAGTTAGTTCTTCCCTTGCTTTTCAAGTTTTACCAGCCAGCCAGCTCTGGAAAGAAAGGGCATGTTAATTCAGGAGACACTGATTCATAACTTGACACAGCGGATGCATAACGACTGCACAGTTCCGATAATCCAAACTTGGTAATAACTCTTAAATTAGTCAATTTGTTCAAGTTCAAGAATCTTTTCCCCAAGGGCCAAATTGTTTCATAGTCAGTATGCACACGAAACATCCATTCTAAGACATTGAGACATTAAAATAACCGTACAGAAGTCCTTCATGCCTGTTACCACCTTCATCTCAACCACAAGTGGCTTTCTGTATAATTTTAACAATAGGAATCAACAACAAAAACATTATTTATGTCCTTACAAAATTAACAAATGAGTCACAACAAGGAAATAATTAGTCTGTCAAACTTGTTTTGGTTTTAATCCACAAAGCTACATTTGATGTGAAATAAATCTAAGCTTTTCTGTGTTCTGCTGTAGGACAATGAAGGCTAGTGTGGGGCTCATCTCTTCAATGGTTCTGTTCCTGCTAATTGGAACAGTGTTCTCCCAGAGGCCTCGGCCAAAGAAGCCCACCAGACGCCCACCTACAACAAGGAAGCCTCCAGTCCGCAAGCCTGTGACTCCAGCAGCAAAAGAACCCCTGGAGCCCACAGACTTCCCCCCACCCATCCTAGGCCCACCTTCCAGTTTTTCTGACTGCCCTCGAGAGTGTTCATGTAACCCAAGTTACCCAAATGCTCTCTACTGCGAGAACCGAAACCTCCGTGTGGTCCCGGTCATCCCGTTCAGAACCCATTACCTTTACCTTCAGAACAACTACATTTCAGAGGTGACTGCAGAGGCCTTCAACAATGCGACCGAGGTCCGCTGGGTCAATCTAGCAAACAACCGCATTCAAAGAATAGACAAACAGGTCAGAAAGCGTATCTCCAACAAAACTCAGGATAAAAAAAAATACACAAAACTACAGTTCCATTTCAGTTGGTACAAATCTCTTCCACAGGTATTTGAGAAGATCCCAGCATTGTTGTATTTGTATGTGCAACGAAACCAGCTCAAGGAAGTTCCATCAGGCCTCCCAGCAACATTGGAGCAAATTCGTCTGGATAGGAATCTCATTTCTAAGATCCCTACCGGAGCCTTCAACAAGATGGAGAACCTGACTCTACTTGACCTGCACTACAACCAGGTGAGCCTCATTGAATAGCAGCAACAACCTGGTGGGTTTCTGGAGTAGATGTGAGTGTGTGATGTCTTTGTCAGCTGAGTGACACTGGTCTGGGAAAGAACACCCTGAAGGACCTGAAGAGCCTCTTGCAGCTCAACCTGGCTCACAATACTTTGAAGAAGATGCCCTCTGGTGTGCCAGGCAACATCATTCAGCTTTTCCTGGATAAGAACCGTATAGATGACATCCCAAAGCAAGTATACCTTGCACTAACTGTCCCATGGTTATAAACACATTAAACCTCATCAGAATGTGATAGACCCAAATCTTATGGAGTATTTTACAGTCGTGTCCTCTTTGGTTGTCTTGTTCAGAGATTACTTCAAAGACTTCTCTCACCTGGCATTTGTGAGGCTGAACTACAACCAACTGAGTGACAAAGGAATCCCCAAGGCTGTGTTTAATGTCTCCACCCTGCTGGACCTGCAACTGGCCCACAACCAGCTTAAAATGGTTCCCGTCTTCAACAGTCACCTGGAGCACCTGCATCTCAACCACAACAGCATTGAGAGTGAGTTTTTATTTTCTTGTTTTGATACCATTTCAGACTTAGTATAAATCAACATTTTTGTAGCATACTCTGATTTCTGCTATGATCAGAGTTGCATTTTCAGTTGTTTAGCCACCAGATCTTTATTGTTAGACAATTTTCTTGCTTTTTTGCTACTGTTGTCCCTTCACTTAATAAAGGAAATATAGATGGCACTGTTTTCTTGGATATGTAGAAATTTTGTACATTTAATTACACTGTCCTGCTTTTACAACTGTCAAAATATTACCTAAAGTATCAAAGTTCATGCACAATAATCCAGGTGGAAAATCCAACAAAGTTAAGTCAGGTCATCTGGATGGTTTCTTTTTTTGTTGAGACGTTTCGTCCTTCATCCAAAGGACTTCATCAATCTGAGGAGCCACAAACAAACTGAGTCCCACAAGCAGCAATGGACCAACCAGTTATTGAGGAATATTGAGCATGAACTTTGACGTTTTGAACCACTTTGGCTATGACTGCTTCAGAGGAATCAACGGGGGAGAGGGTGGGCCCCAGAAACCATCTTATCACTATGAAACTGGTTGGTCTACTATCTGGGTGTGCTGCTTGTGGAACTCAGTTTGTTTGTGGCTCCTTGGATTGACGAAGTCCTTTGGATAAAGGACGAAACGTCTCAACAAAAAAATAAACCATCTAGATGACTTGACTTGAACTTTGCTGGATTACCTAAAGGACCAGGAACAATGTGTTGTATTGTCAAAATCAAGTTGTCTTCTCACATAACCAAAGAAGGAATCTCATTAAAAAAAACATTTTCTCATCATTTTAGCCTGCATTTAAACAAACATCCATATTTGTCCTTATATTGACCTTCACACGTACGCCGATGACATGTTTGTTTATGCATCTGGTAAAAATTGCAATGCAGTTGCAGAAACAGCAACTACAAATTTAGAAAAAGAAGTATCTGCTCAGTGGGATGTCTCATTCTTGCCTCTGTTAGACGCTCCGAGTAGGTTGGGCAAGATTTTTGTTTGAAACTTTGGCGTGCAAGGCAAAGGTGGTGTGCAGTCATTTAACAAACGCTAGTTTTATTTATTAGGTCGTACTAACGTATCACACTAAAACTCCTGTCAACACTTAACATATATTTAGCTAATTAGCTTTATTTTCTTAACTAACAGGCATTTTTCTGTTAAAAAATGTTTATCATAATTGATTTACTATTACTTCTGTATGCATATTTACTGTATGTTGATTTTCACTGTAATCAACATTTTGCTGTTAATTTGCCTTTAGTTTTAACACATTAGTTTTCTAGTCTTGCTAGTTTTTGCTACAAACACTCACTTTCCAGTTGCTTTGTCATCATATCTATGCAGTGGTGTTTTCCATCATTAAATAATTCCAGTTTCTGTCAAATACCAAAGTACCAAAGCGTGACTGGCATGTTTCAAGAACTGCCTGTTCACCTTCTTCCAAATCAGTGTCAAACTTTCCAAGCATTCCTGCAACAAGATAACCAGCGTTCGATGACCAGTGTTCATGTTATCTGTCTGTGACTTCAATTAACACATTTAAATATTCTGTACCACAAACATGCATTTTGGTCCGCAGCAAAAAAAAAATTTAACCTTTCGTTTGTGCAGCCATGCATTGTCTGTTATTTATGATCTTGTTTTGCTAACAGGCATCAACGGCACCGAGATCTGCCCGTATGAGATGCAAGTCGACCTGAGTGACGACAGTCTTGTGCCAAGACTAAGGTACTTCACATTCAATCATATCAGGGGACTTTGTCACGTGCACTGGTACTGCAACATGCTACATGAACAGGAAGAATTGGGTTACCCATATTTTTCGGACAATAAGGCGCATTAAGCGAAACAAAATAGTCAGATAAGTCAAACTTTATTCAACTCATACACAATAACTCTCAACATTGTTTAGTTGTACCACATAAAATCGGCTTGAGGTCAAGCACAACCAGAATAAATACATACGGCGCACCGGATTATAAGGCTCACTGTCGATTTTTGAGAAAATTAAAGGATTTTAAGTGCGCCTTATAATCCGAAAAATACGGTACATGTTAGAAAAGGCAGAGTTGTTGAGACAGCATTTTTAAAGCAGCTCTTCTGTTGCCTCAGGTACCTGCGTTTGGATGGAAATCATTTGCACCCACCCATACCTTTGGATGTCATCATGTGCTTCAGACACCTTCACTCCATTGTCATTTAGGAGCCATTCAAGCAAAATCCTACACACAGACGAAAGCATTGCACAAGAATGAATTCAACCCAGCACAAACTCAGTCAAGCACAGAGTTTAGCTGCAGGAATGCGTCACTGGAAAAGACGCACTGCAGTTTGCCAGCTTTGACACGGTTTTAATTTTCATCGTTGCAGCAAGAATCCATATACTCAACAAAAAACTTGAAAAAAAAAAGGTGAGCATACAGACATTTAGCTTGAGGTTTGCTTTGAGTTTTTCAGTGAATTAAAAGATAAAAATAGAATAGGTAAAGACTGAAAGGACAGGTCCATTCATGCAGATGTAGAGAAGAGCTGTGTTTGCAGCAGGTGTGGTCAGAGTCGAGGAGACGACGGCGGTGGACTGACCTATCAAGGTTTTCAATGTAAAAATTCTCTTTTTATTCTTTTCCATCATAGTGTTATGTATATTATTCCTTTGTATAAAGACGCTTTGTACAAATAATGAAAAATAAAATGTATTTGTTCAATTTATTAAGTTTGATCTTTATTTCAAATGTATTCTGTGTTCTTTACGAGAAAACAAAATAGGAAGAATATCTTTATTGGTGCTCATCGCTTTGATCTCATGCCTTTTTTCAGTTATTTGGCAAATCGCAATTATTTCTTTGAAATTCATTTGAAGTGATTTCTATCAAATATTTATCATCCATCCATTATCTTTTACCTGCTTCTTCCTTTTCGTGTCGACGGGGATCACTGGTGCCCATGTCCAGCCAACACTGTGTGAGAGGCGGGGGACACACTGGGCAGGTCGTAAGTCCATCACAAGGCCCAAACACACTCACGCCATAGTTTATTTTATTTTTTTGTTGTTTTCTCAACCGACCAAACAGTCATTTTACTACTCAAATGTAATTTTGATGAGATGCTGTTTGTTAGAGAAAACTGCAACAAATTAAACAAAATAAGTACCAGTAATACAAAATGTTTAATGTTAACAAATGTGGCCTTTTTTTGGCACCAGTATGTCATTTTTGTTTTCTAATCTAAAAAAAAAAAGTTAAAATCAGTCCCTCATTTGGCTAGCCATGGCAAGACCTCTGTTCTTTTTCTATACTTTGTGCTCTTTGACTGATAGGATTCTAATTATTAATAACTTTTTAATAGAAAATAGCCTAACTATCCCTTTAATGAGTGCCTATTTGTGTTCTGAATGTGGGTTTGTTCAAATATGTTGAATGCATTTTATGTTTAAATATTATGTAGATAGCTGAACTAAAATTGACTAAACTTAGATTTCAAAGTCTCTAAAGAGGATTTTTTTCAGGTTGCAAGGAGTTAGAATGAGCTGGTTTGATCATATCAAACTGGACGGACTGGAAATAGTTTCTCAATTTGGACACCAGTTACTCATGGATACTTTTCTGGACAGTTGTCCATCCCACACGCCCCCAATGTATGACTGGTTCCAACAGTAGTATTTCCTCAGAGCAATTACCTCCAATCCTTCTGCCCTCAGGTCAAAGTATATCCAGAAACTAAAACCTTAGCAATGCGGAGGCGGTGGTTGCAGCTTGAGAGAAAGTTAACTGAACTTGTAAACTTCTACTGATGATCATAGCTGAATGAATAATTAAAGTTTTGTCACTTTTTTTTTAAAAGCATATCTTAAAAGGGACCAGAAAATGTGCTGGGAAATCTACTTATTTCATCATAATTGTTTAATAATTAATTTATAACTTATAGACAGCCACAAAATTTTTATATAACCTTTTTAAAATCTGAGTGGCAGTAAAAAAAACAACTTAAGATGAATAAAGAGGCGACTTTTACAATTTTTACTTTCAAAACAAAAGCTCAGATGTTCTGTAGGGAGGGATTCCCCTGAGAAGTGAGAAGTTATGAACAGTTAATAACTTACATGTTGTAGATAGAACATGCTTACAGACCAAAATCAATAATTGATATCTTAAAACACCCCCAGCCAACTTTAATAAAATATAACATATTAAAAAAAAAAATATATATATATGTATATGTATATATATATATGT